GAGCCAACCAATACTGGACTAACGTAGAACACATGAGAGAGACTCGAGGAGGATACCCCATAGCTGACTGGGGAACGATGAAGCAGGAACTGAAAAGAAAGTATCTCCCACCCTCATACTACCCTAGACTCTTAGATCGTTGGAATAGGTTAACCCAAGGAAGTAAACCCGTTAAGGAATACATATCAACCATTGATGATTTCTTAGTTCGTTGCAACGGGGAGGAGACCAACACTCCTACACAACTTCTGTCCATGTTCAGAGCCGGATTGAGAGAAAATCTTAGAAATGAATTCTTTGCTAGAGGAGTGAATACGAATGAAGCTGCCTGTAGTCTTGTACTAGACTTGGAAGAGTCTAGGAGCCACGCCACTAGGACTCAAGACTCTAGACCCAACCCATTCAAGTCTTCCTCTAGCCAACCTTACAACAAGCCCACTGGACCCTCAAGTAGTCGACCTTCCCCTAATCAAACCCAACCTCGAACAGACTACAAAGGAAAAACACCTGAACGGGAGACACCCAAAACCACTGCCGGCACTAAGTGTTTTAGATGTCATGGGTACGGACACATTGTCTCTCAGTATTCCAGCCCGTTTAAGGTCACGATAATTGAGGAAGTGATAGAAGAAGAGGATGAACCTGAAGCTGAATTAGTGCACCATATGGACGACGATGAGGAGTTTTTCAATGAGGATACTGCTGTGATACACTGTCTTCAAAAGATGAATCACTTAGATCTGCAAGTCATTAGGTGTGCCTTCTCGCAGCCTAAACCTAGTGACGACTGGCGAAGGATCTCGATCTTCTACACTTTCACTAAAATAGGAGACAAGAATTGTAAGGTCATAATAGACAGTGGAAGTTGTATTAACGCTGTGTCTTCTGTTATGATCTCGAAGCTTCAATTGAGGACCACACCACACCCGAACCCCTACAAAATTGCATGGATCAACTCAACCACCTTGGAGGTAAAAGATAGGAGTCTCGTTCCTATTGAGTTCGTTGGATATAACGAGAAAATTTGGTGCGATGTTTTGACAATGGATGTGGGTCAAATCATTCTTGGCCGCCCTTGGTTGTTCGACAATGATGTACACATTTATGGACGATCGAACACCTGTGTGTTTGAACACGAGGGCAAGAAGATTAAACTCTTACCCACTCAACCTAAGTCTACCAAGGAAGAAGTTAAGCCCAACTCCCTGAAACCCAACACGAGCTTGAATTTATTAACTGCTAAAGACCTAGGTTTGGAACTAGAGTTGGAAGCCCCTCTTTACGCGTTAGTAGCCCGGGAAGTGAGTGTAGATCAAGCAGAACCAATCCCTGAGGAAGTAAGACCACTTTTGGAAACTTTTTTTGATGTCTTCCCTGAAGATTTGCCCTCCCAACTGTCACCTCTAAGGGACATTCAACATGCCATAGACCTAGTGCCGGGAGCTTCTTTACCAAACCTACCCCATTACCGAATGAACCCTACTGAACATGAGGAGCTCAAGAAACAAGTGGATGAGTTGTTATAACGAGGGTTCATTAAGGAGAGTCTTAGCCCGTGTGCGATAGCCATGCTATCAACAAAATCACTGTCAAGTACCGTTTCTCAATCCCTCAGTTAGATGACATGTTGGACATGATGACCGGAGCCACGCTATTTTCTAAGATCGATCTTAAGAGTAGCTACCATCAAATTAGAATCCGCCCCAAGGACGAATGGAAGACAGCATTCAAAACCAAAGATGGGTTATACGAGTGGACTGTAATGCCTATTAGATTAAGCAACGCCCCAAGTACTTTTATGAGAGTGATGACTCAGATCCTTAAGGCCTTTTCTTGGAAAGTTTGTAGCAGTATACTTTGATGATATCCTAATCTACAGTTATTCGGTGGAACAACATTTGAATCATCTAAGACAAGTTTGTGAGATTTTGAAAAGGGAGCATATGTATGCCAATCCTAAGAAGTGCACTTTCCTCACAAATCAAGTAACCTTCCTTGGATTTATCATATCTTCCCAAGGCATATCTGCTGACCCCGAAAAGGTGCGAGCTATAAACGAGTGGCCAAAACCCAAGAATATTAGAGATGTTAGGAGTTTTCACAGATTGGCCACATTTTATCGGAGGTTTATTCGAAATTTTAGCACCATTGTAGCGCTAATAACGGACTGCCTTAAGAAAGGAGAGTTTCTTTGGACCATGGCTACAACTAGGGCTTTTGAGGAGATTAAGAAGCGAATGATGGAAGCCCCTGTGATGAGATTACCTGATTTTTCTAAAATTTTTTAGGTGACTTGCGATGCGTCTGGAATTGGTATAGGTGGAGTCTTATCGCAAGAGGGACACCCGGTCGCTTACTTTAGCGAGAAATTGAATGACATTAGACAACGGTACTCCACCTACGACAAGGAATTTTATGCCATCATTCAATCCCTTAGGTATTGGCGACACTACCTTCTACCGTAAGAATTTGTTATCTTTTCGGATCATGAGGCTTTGCGGTACATTAATTCTCAAAAGAAACTCAATGCTCGGCACGGTCATTGGGTTAAATTCCTGCAAGAGTACACGTATACCATAAGACATAAAGCAGGATCTGAAAATAAGGCTGTTGATGCCTTAAGCCGTCGACTGATGATTACTAGGGAGATGACTACTGAAGTGATAGGTTTCGAGCGACTTAAGGAAGACTACCCAGACTGCCCCGATTTAGAGAAACCTATTCTGCGCTTACCACTGGAGATGAACGGATCATAGGAGATTTTATGTTGGAAGATGGATACTTATTTAAAGCCCAAAAACTCTGTATTCCCAAAACTTCACTTCGAGAGTTTCTTGTCTGGGAATTACATGCTGGAGGTTTAGTGGGTCACTTTGGACAGGCCAAGACCATTGCAGCTGTTGAAAATCGATTTTATTGGCCGAGTCTTAAGAGGGACGTTAGCATATTAGTAAGGCGGTGTCATACCTGTCAGTTGGCCAAACAACGGAAACAAAATACCAGCCTCTACACACCTCTACCCGTGCCTAACCAACCTTGGCAGGACGACAGCATGGACTTTGTTTTAGGGTTACCCAAGACCGTTAGGAAACATGACTCAATCTGTGTAGTTGTAGATAGATTTTCTAAGATGACCCATTTCCTCCCGTGCTCCAAAACTTTTGATGCTTCTAGAATAGCCAAGCTGTACTTTGATGAAATTGTGAGACTTCACGGGCTGCCTAAAACCATTGTGTCAGACTGAGATGTGAAATTTACCAGTTATTTTTGGAAGACATTATGGCATAAAATGGGGACCAAACTGCAATTCTCTACCGCCTTTCACCCCCAAACAGACGGTCAAACTGAAGTGGTGAACAGGAGTTTAGGAAATCTTTTAAGGACCTTGGTAGGAGAAAATATTCGGGACTGAGACTCCAAGTTGCCCATAGCTGAATTTGCCTACAATAACTCTGTGAACCGAACTACTGGTCTTAGCCCTGCTGAAATAGTGTACGGATACCTTCCCAACCAACCCATTGATTTGATTCCCATGAACACTAGAGTTAGGACATCAGAGTCAGCATCATCATTTGCATCTCATCTACATGAGTTACATAAAGAAATTAAAAAAGAAAATTGAGCAAAGTAATGCAAATTATAAATTTATGGCTGATCATAAAAGAACTAAAGAATTCGAAATTGGAGACTTTGTGATGGTTCGGATCCGTCCGAAGCGTTTTCCTCCTGGATCCGCAAAGAAGTTGCATGCGAGAAGCGTCGGACCGTTCAAGCTAATCTCAAAGGTGAATAACAATGCTTACGTAATAGACCTTCTCGAAGGTTTCAAAACATTAATCCCACAGTTAACATAGAAGATTTAGTAACCTTCGAAGAACCAGAATTTAACCCATGCAATCCACTTACAAACGAGCCTTGTGCGACCATACCTTATGAGAAAGCCAACCTCCACTCCCAAATTTATCCCCCTTACCCAATGCGAAGACAGTTGAAGCCATATTAGATGATGAGATTATTACTGCGAAAGGAGGCAGACGTCGGAGATACTTAGTTCACTGGAAAGGGACCCCGATGATAGAGGATACGTGGGTTGACCGAGAGGAACTGCAGAGCCTAGACTCAGACCTTCTGGATTGGTACGAGAGCTCTAGAGACACTCACTCGACAGGGTCGAGTTTTCTCTCACCTGGGGAGAATGATGAGGACATCGACAGAAGCTACCGACAAGTTTATCGCCGGCAAAACCGCAGATCGATGGCCACGATTCAGCGCCTCTACTTTTGATTCCGATGTCATGATGTATTATTTAGTATTTTCAATTTTTCCATTTTTACCCCTGTGGGGAGTTGCTTTGTTATTGTAGCTACCCTTACGGGTGGTCATGTAGTATTGTAGCCCAAAGGGCATTTTAGTCTTTTATTTCTTTTCTTTTCATGAGGCCTATTTATAGGCTAGTTGTTTTGTATTTTGGGATGATGATTTGATAATGAAAATTTATGTGTTTTTTCTTCTTCTTATTCTTCTTGTGAGTGCACTAGACAGAAGGGAGAACGAGAGCCCAAGGTGTGGGCGAAAAGCAATACCCGCCAGTCAGGAGGAGTCCGTGACTCGTGGTCTATCCCCATCATTCGATCCCCTTCCTTCTCCCCAACCCGCCGGCCCTACCCCCCCTCATAGCTGACGGCCACCCCCACCTCCACCATCCGTCAGTAAGCCTCTCAACCGTCGGCCCCATCCCCCATTCCCCCACGTATTCAAATTTTGAAAATTCAAAATTTGAATTTCAAAAACTTTCTAATTTTGGAATTTCCTAATTAGGAAAGTTTTAAAATTCGGATCATGATGAAATTCAAATTCGAAAGGATTTTATTCTAACCCTTCCTAAATCTAATGAGCCGATTTGGAAACTATTTACTTGCTCCCACACCAAATCCCTCTCTCTAGAAGCCGCCGGCCACCTTGCATGGGCCCTCCTTCATGCCACCAATTAATGCATTGATTACCCCACTAATTTGAAATCAATTTCAAATTAATCCTCCCCTAATTTCGTTCAAAACCTGAATTAAATTTCAGATTTTTGAAATCACCCTCTCCCTCTCTCTCTTGAGCCGCCGGCCTCTTCTTTAATGGGCCACATTAATGCCCATTAATTGCCCCTTAATTCTATTGATAATTTGAAATCAATTTCAAATTTGCTTCCCCCTAATTTACTCAAATTCTGAAAATAATTTCATATTTTGTGTAACTCTCCTCCTCCCCTCTCCTAACCCAATTTTCTTCATCCCATCCACCCGCCCATCCTTCTCTATTTTGGCCGACCACCTCCTCACTCTATCTCTTGGGAAATTAAAGCAAGAAAAGAAGAAGACGACGCCCTTCATCCCTCGCTTCAATGTTGAATGGTGGATCCCGAACTTGAGTGGGGTCTTGTATTCAACGCCGACAGAAGCATCGACATCCTAAGATCTCCGTGCTTTGACGTAGGATTTGAAGACGACACCACCGTTGAAGAATATTTGGAGCGAGTCGTCCCGATTCTTGCGAGCATCATCGACCGACGATTTTCAAGCTACGATTGGAGCCTCATCGGCCACCCACTACATCCATCTCCACCGGCAACCTCTCCACCAACAAAGTTCTTCGGTGTCATCTTTGTAGTGGTAATATCTTTCATTATTTGGCTCATCTTTCTCCGCTAAAGCCTACGAATAGTTGAGTGAGAAGGCCTTAAGGTGAACCTCTCATTGTTAAGTGTTGGATTATGTTACTTGTACTTCGCATTTAATATTACCTTGGTTTTTGAAAGGATAGTCTAGGTTATTCTCTATTGCTAATCTTTGGCCTAAGCAAGTTAAATTTTTCTAATTCTTAACTCTCTCTTGCATGATCGAAATAAATTT